AAGGTGCATTACAGGCTTTGAAAGCACTGACATATATATAGAGAGAGCTGATTGTAAAAGTCACTATAATCTTTCCATACTTTCTCAGAATGAGCTAGAGCTTCTTAGAACCCAGCAGTTTCAGACAAGACTCATAAAAATCTGCAAATTCCATCTCTGTGTTGGTTAAATGGGGTCTGCCTCGTAGAAGAGGCATTTTATTGCAAGACAGGGGTACAAAATGGAAGGAGAACCTGAAGCACTAGGATAGTATTGGTGTGCTATGCCTGTGTCTGTGCAACATCAGGTGAAAATCAGTGATGCACTAGTTAATCCCTTAAAAAAGTTTCCTGAGTTAGGAAGAAGGATGATGCAAATTTGAAAATGAAGTTTTAAGGGCAGATGATGCCTTTCCCCTTGAAACAAGTACGGGGTAATTCCCTTGTAATTACATGAGGATGAATTAATTACTTTCTAACAAACTCAAATAAAAACTTGACTACATAATGCTGCCTTCTCTTTTCTTAATTAAAAATGTCCAGGAGCATTTTCATAATCTGTAGATTCACACACACATGTGATTTATTGTTATATTTATGCTTTTTTACTAATATGAGAAAATTGGAGCTGCAAATCCTCCCTTTGGTTATGCAGCTATTACAGCATTATCTGTATCCAGTTGTGCATCAACGCTACACCCAGAGAGGGCTGGAAGTACCCAATCCTCCTGCAGAGGCCAGGCAACAGCTTTCTGCTCATTCTGGGGATGGACCAGTCCCAGATGGACAAGTGCATTATGTACTTTCCTGATGGTGAACACATGGCTCGAACATGAAATTCCTTGTGCTGAGCAACCTGTTGTTTTGCCTACCATGGGTTTGCCAGGTAGCTGACTGAGAGCAGGTGAGACAATTTCCATCTGCAGAAGAGACTTATAAATCTGTCAGCTCAGAATTGCAAAAGAACTCCACCGACCTCCCTTGGAGCTCCTGCAGTCTTTGTCCACACATTAAGTCTGTGGTTGCATATGTAGTTTTGAGCCCAGAACTTGTTAAGAAAATGGTGCTTAGAATATGATGAACAACTTGCTATGGAATAGGAAAATGTTATACCAGTACCACACTCCTGGGTTTGTGTTTTACTGCCAGTTGGTACTTTTTGCATCCATGGAATACAGACGCTCTTTGAATCAGTTTCATCTCTGAAATTTCTCTGGTGTTGATTGCAGTTGTGCATGTTTGTAATGTATGAGAGTCTAAAGATATGTTATATATTTGAATATTGTGTTGGCAGTGCTTTTAGCTGTGCATTATTAGTGCAAATCCTGTTGGTTTTGTGGCAGTGCCCTGTGTGCACCGCTCCCGTTAATCCTGGCTTCATCGATTACCAGCTGTATTCTAAGATAGAATAGCAAGGGAATTGATGAAGATTAGGAACTGCTGTGGTCAGAGGGTTCATTTGGAATGAAGTTCATTTTTTAGGAAAAAAATGAACTGTGCTGAGGCTACATGGGAGCTATTAGTGGGGTATTAATCCAGGGCATCTGCATCACCATTAAAACTAGGAGAGGATCCAACACCTTTCCTGTTGCCATAAATCCAGGCATGAATTGGGAGATGGAGTTGCATCTGCTGCTTTAAGGGAGAGAGGTGTTCAGATTTATAGTCCCATGGGCAGAGCGGTGACGAAAGAAGAAGATTTCACTTCCTTTGAAGTCTAATGAACTGAATCTCAGGTAATGGAGTGAGTTTGCCTCACTCTGAATGTGCTGAAGTTTTGCAGTAAACATGCCTTTCTGTTGGTTTGGGGTGCTGTCTGGCAGTGAGGCAGAAGGGCTAGTATAGATGCTATCCTTTTTAGACAGAAATTCTAGCTGTATTCTTGATATTGCTCTGAAAAAATGAGAGGTCATCTTTCAGGCATAGGTGCAGCAAATAAAGTCATAGATGTGGAAAGCAGTTTCATATTTACATTTGTGAGGCTTTTGCAGCAGAAACTGATATTCACTTATCATACTCATTACGCCTCTCTAACATTCACCTGGACCCTATATAATTATGTGTTTAATGATCTTTAACCTTCTCATGAACACAGCTTGCTGAAGCTTGACGATTGCAGTCAATTATCATTCATGTCTGGTAGAAGAGAGGAAATATTACTTGGGGAAAAAATGCTGTGCTATCTGACTTAGAATTTCACTTCAGTTCTGTCATATCACTTTGTAAGTAGGTGACGATGATTTAATCCTAAATCCAAACAATTATATGATTGTTTAGAGCTAAAAAAATGGCTCTTCCATAGGTCATCTATTATAATATTTTTATATTAGAGTGTAAGAACTTCAACACCTAAAAGAGCTATTTTTGTGTGCCAGTCTGAATGTTCACCAGAAAACTACATATAATTTTAGTAAATGCCCATTTATGTTTTTTTTTTAATTAAAGGGCTAAAAAAAATTATTATCAGTTTTGCCACTATAAATCTTTGGGTAAAAAACTGATCTTCCACTCATCAGACTTGGCTTCAACTTTAATATAAAATGCTACTAGCTCTTCCACTTTTTATTTAATGTTTAGCCCTTCGTTTTATAGTGTTTCAAATAGCAATATCCATTTCTTTCTTTTGGTACAAAGGACTTTAACTTATTAGAGGAAATGCTTAATAGTAATCATGGAGAATTTTTTCATTTTAACTGTTGGTATCTCACTAGCACTGCAAAGGTTTTATAGCTCTGCATTAATGTCTACCAGAACTGATTTATGAACCGTAACTGCTGCTGGATATTATGGGTAAAACCAGAGATTATACTGACAGCCTCTCCTACTTATTAGCAAATAGCAGATTGGAGACTCTTTGAGCATTCTCAAATATCTGTGTGAGATACCTAATTTTTCCAGCTATTGCCTTCTTAGGGAATCAGATTATAGCCTTTCAGTATGTAGCTGGGTGAACTGAGGTGTTCCCAGTTCCTTGGCTGAGCTGTGCATGGCCAGACAATGCTGTGATATGACATCACTTAATTTGGCTATGAATATCCTGCCAACACCTTTATATGCAATGTTAATGGCATATAGATTTATTCAGGGATCAAACAGATGCTTAAATTATGGGCAATCTTTTTTAAATGCAAACAGATTCTGGCTTGATCTTGACAGGCTTCAGGGCCCTAAAAAAAGGGCCATAAGAACAATAATCTTAAAGGCAAAGAAGAGTCATGTTAACTTTCTGAGCAGACAAAACTGTGGTACCAACCAGCAGGAGAGTGCCACAGCTTAGTAAATGATGCTGATTGTTCTCAAGCAGGAGCTGATGGCAGGTGCAAAAAGAAAAACAGATTGAATTTTTGGAAAGGGGACTCAGCTGTCACTTGACACCTCTGCGTACATTCATGTGGGTTGGGTAGGAAGAGTGAACTGGATTGAGTCATACATATTCACAGCTAAAGTGCTTTGAGAAAGTTGTTAAAACAATGGTGCTGTAATAAAAAGTTGCCCAGCCAAACAGAAAACACAAAATGCTACCTCATGTAGTCAGTGGGAGTTCTGCTGTTGATGCAGAGCAGAGAACACACTGGTGGATAGGATTTTGTATGTGCCATAAACCAACAAGAAAATCAGACCTCACTGGTGTTGTCCACTGTGCTCATGGCAGCAATTCAGGATTCAAGTTTTCTTAGGTCCTGAACGACTTTTGCTGAAGGACCTGCAGAGCTACTTGTAGTATAACATAAGAATCTCCTTGTGGCTTGGCTGTAGCCAGTGTCATAAGGTGCTTTTTTCACATCTATTTTAATATCCTAATGCAGGTTCTTATAACAAATGACGATGCTGCTCAGCCCTGGCAACCTCTGCTATCAGTTGAAGAGTAAAATGCATAACCAGCAACAATTTCTGTTGAGCTGTCTGCACAAAATGAGCAAACAGGACCAAGTCTAGTATTAGCAGTTGTTGTAAATCATGTTGCAACCTAAACAGGCTGTATATATTTCCTTCAGACTATCTTTTGTGAGACAGAGATTATTTTTGATGACGTTATTAACTTTTTATTGATCATATTCAGTATGTTAAATTTAACAGTAAATAGAATTTAAAGCCCTATTGCTGTATATTTAAGTTATTATCCTGTTTTTTTGAATGTGTTGACACTAATACATATGGTCCAGCAATTGGCATGTTCACCCTTGCAACTTAAAAATTATTGGAGATAAGCTGATATTTAGTACTTGGCTCTGAGTCTATGAAAAAATCAATGGAAGTCCTTTGTCTTCAGTGTTCTTCAGTTCAGGCTTTTAATTAATAGAATTTAAAGTAAAGAAGCAAACCTCTCTTTATTATCCTGCTTCAGGTTATCATCATCCTGGCTTGGTTTTTGTAAAGACAAATGCAAATAATTTTTTTTTTTTCTAGTGGGCTTTGAGGAGAATGGGAAGATGAATATATGGGTTCTTCTTTCTTTTAGGACACATACTTTTAGAATCAAGGTCTTAGAGTCTGTTAAGTTTTGCTAACAGTTGAGTTGTGACATGGTTCCAAATTTCCGTGACTGCTGTCTGTTACGACATTCTGTAGACACCAGTGCTGAACCATTTTCAGTCACCTGGAAAAAATCTAAAAGTAATAACTAGAAATATGAAGCTAGATTAAAACGTATATTATTGTTAACCCTTCACTCATCCATTGATCTAATAGGTTAAGGACATTTTGTGCTTGTTCGTTTTGGCTGATAATAGTTCTGAAGGAATTTACATTTTAGAATGAGGATTTAAAATATATATATAACAGCTGCTTTTTAAATAGAAAGTCTAATTATGCCTATGATTGCATTCACTTTTGATTAGTATGCATACAAATCCCTGCTCTCCATGTGGATTCAACCTGAGCTATGGATCACTGGTGTTAGGATCTAAGTACAAAGGAACAGCTTGACAAAATGTATGGTTAGACCAAAGCAGAAAAGAAACCAACCCAAAATTCTGGGTGTAATTTTTGTTGTCTCTAAAAAGCTTTTTTTTCCCCTTTTAGTTGCACACAGACCTGGACCCTGGAAGCAGCAAAATCAAGTATATTCTGTCAGGAGATGGAGCTGGAACAATCTTTGTGATCAATGACAAGACTGGAGACATTCACGCGATGAAAAGGCTTGACCGTGAGGAAAAGGCTGAATACACTCTAACAGCTCAAGCAGTGGACAGGGACACAAACCAACCTCTGGAGCCTCCTTCAGAATTTATTATTAAGGTTCAAGACATCAATGACAATGCCCCAGAGTTTGTTGATGGCCCATATCATGCCACGGTTCCTGAAATGTCTATTGTAGGTATGTATGTCTAAACACAAACAAGCATTGTTTGCTTGCAGCTCAAACCATGCCAGGATGCTGATGAATAATAAGGTATTTATTATGTTGTTAGCATTAATTTGCATATTTTAAAATCTCTTCTTGGCTGAAGCTTTCATCTGCAGCACAATAGCAGAGTCCCTCAGTAGTAAGAAAATGACTAACAGCTGTATTGATGTGTCTTTCTTTGTCCAACACCACTTTAATGGGCTAAATTTATATTTCCCTTATGACTCTGTAGTTAGAGTATTTTTGTTGAGAAGGATTTATCAAGATTTGCTCTGGCATGACACTCTAATCCTATTGATACTTTGTTGATGTTTAATTATCTGTTTGTGTGTTTTCATGCACTTGCAGTGCGTTGATACATACTTACTTGTTTTCCTCCAAGTGAAACTGTAATCAGGCAAAAACATTGAAATGAAAGATGCTGTGTCTGGGAATTGATGGGTAGACTCTAGAGTGGACTTAGCCAATTAGCCATAGGATTTTCATGGATGATGGAAGGGGAAAACACAGGAAGCTGTGGAAAAAGATGGTGAAAAGGGAAATTAACTGTGTGCAAGCAGAAAAGAGAAAGGAGTAGAACATAATCTTCTTAATACATTTTACTTGTATTTATATTGTCAGATTAGTGTGAATATATTTCCTCATGGATTAATATATTAGAATTTTATTCTGCATAGTTTGTCCCTTGTTCTGTGTTTCAAATACAAGTATGTATTTCCAGAGGTACGTATAGATGTACTCAGGTCCTCACTCCCCACTGACACACACACAGCGAGTGCAGGTGATCTTCAGCTGTCACTGAAGCAAAAGGAAAGCAAACCCATCAAACCAAAAGTCTCAATTTCAGGGCAATATAAGAATTCAGCATAAGCAAAGACATCAAAATCTGGCCATGAAATGCAGAGGAAATTCTAATGTATTTAGTGTTAGGTTGAGGATAATGTGCTTTTCAGCGATTTGTCTGCATCTGTCAAAGCAAGATAATTGAAGGAGTGCCAAGGCACTTTGTAAAACAAAGCAGCACCCTATCACAAAGTTTCAAAAACACCATTCTGTCTTAGTTATAAAGAGGAGGAATGTGAGGAGCCAGAACCATCCTCTTACTCCCATTCAGTACAGTGAGTTACACCAAGTAATTTCCAAATGTGAGCATGGTGTGCTGACTAGACAGTGATACCTGAGGCTTCATTTTCTTAATCAACACTTCTCCAACAGATTTTCATATCTTGGCTGTATTGAATTGCTTGTGCTGAAGCTGATATGTGAATTTTCAAGCCTGCATGTCAGTTCTTTAACTAAAACAGAGGTTTAATTTGTTGTTACTTTTAATTATACAGCAGCACAAACATAATATAGCCCTGCTTTCTGAAGATATTTTTGCCAAGCTCTAGGTGACAAAGTGGTTTAATTAAATAAAATAACATAGAGGGGAAAAAAAAACAATAAAGAAGAGAAAAAAATAGGGAGTGGGAGAAGGAGGAAGGAAAACTGAATGCTATTATTCCTTATATGAATGGTCCTTATGTAGTATTGTAGGAAAAGAGAAAATGAATATTTTTGCAGACAAGAAAAGATGGTTTCTGATCACAAAGCCATTTATTATTGTATTAAATAATTTATATCTGTGCATATGAGCAATATTTATAATCTGTAATAAAGACATGGCCCCCATCAAGAAGCATTCGCTGTCAAGAAGAAGAGAAAAAAATCCCCAGAACTTTGACAGGAAACTAGTCAGGAGGACAGATTAATAAAAAACTAATGAATTACTTACGTCAGGTTTAAATATGGCAAATACAATGAGTAAGAGGGTAAAAGAGAATAAAAGGTGAAACACTAGTGAAAGCGAGAGAAAGTGAAACAATTGAGAAAAGTGTTAGGGTGAAAGAGGAGAGGAAAATCTAAAGGAAGGTCATGAGAGATGAATTATAAGATAAAACTTGAACTGGGAAAAGTTTATAACAGAAGGTTGTGGTGAAACACCCAATGTCTGGACACAGGGTAGGGAATAATGAATGGGCTTGCTGCTGGAGGATAATATTCCACCTGCTCCCCAAGCATGTTGGGGGAAAGAGAAACAGTTCTTCACTGAACTGCCTCTGGAATCACATAGCTCCACAGTTTTGTGTGTTCTTAGGCTGCATGGCAGAGTTCTGTCCAGAAGCAAGCTTGTTCTAACAATACAAACATGGGTAGAAATTTGCAAAAGATAATCTCAGAGGTCTGAGGTTTATTACTGTAACTATGCAAGTTTTGCACATTTATCCCTTGTAATCCCTGGGCCTTCCATGGTTTTTATATGACATTCCTAGGGGTGATGCTTTCAAGCTATTTCTCTAAAGAAGTGCAAACTTACACTCCTGCTGTTTTGTTGAAAAACTAACCCCATTCTCAGCTGTTGCTTCGAAGCTCAGAGAATGTTTTCCATTGCATTACATGGGCCATGAAGGACTGTAAAATTTGTGCAGCATAAACAGTCCAGTCTGTGCCTTAATCTTTGATGCTGCCAAATTTCAAGGCTGGAAAGCTGAAGATGAGAGGGTTGCCCTTTACTAACATTCTTCTTACTATTTCTAACAGTTGGACTTGATGATTTTAAAGGTCTCTCCCAACGTTGATGATTCTGTTCTGTGATTCTATGATTTCCTGTTTTCCTCTCTTAACCCATAGGAACCAACATCAAGGGCTGCATTAAATGTTTCTCTGTAAACTATTTTAACTTTCTTGAAGTTTTATTAGTCCTCTTAAAATTCCTTTATCTCCTCCGTGATGGTTTTAAGAAAACAGTCTGCTTTCAGAGTTCAAGGCTTTTTATTATTTTTCCCCCCACTAAGAGTATTTCACTTCCATTATCCACTTAGTAAATTCCCCTTAAAGAGATCTCCACCCACTGCCAATTTCAGCCTTGACATTTGTACAACACAGACATTACTAGGCCGTGTTCTTATACAGTATAAAGCAAAGTTCTACTAAACCTTTTCTTTCCTCAAAATGCTTATATCAATTATGCTCTGAAACAGAAGAGGAACTCATATGCTATATATATATATAGTTCTTATGTAATGAGGATGCAGTACAAGGCATTTTATTTTTGGACATCTAGGGAAAGCAATGCATAAGATACAGATGAAGGCATTAACCTTTCATTGTTCTGTAACACAGTCATGAGGTTCTAACACAGTGCAGTTTTCCTAATAGATACATTAGATCTGGTCTGATGTTGGAAGAGATGGACCATAGGAGTGTCAGTGGTGGTTTTGCATGACTATCTAGAACAGGCATGAGACACTATGGGGATGTGAAAAAAGGCTTCTAACTGAGAGTAGGTTTAGATTAGAAATTAGGAAGAAATCCTTCCCTGTGAGGTGCTGAGGCACTGGCACAGGTTGCCCAGAGAAGCTGTGGCTGCTTCATCCCTGGGAGTGTTCCAGGCCAGGTTGGATGGGGCTTGGAGCAACCTGGGCTAGTGGAAGGTGTCCCTGCCCATGGCAGGAGGGGAGTGAGATAAGTTTTAATGATCCTTCCAACCCAAACCAGTCTATCATTCTGTAATTCTAACTGCAACTGCAAAGTGTAAACTTTCTGCATGTGACGTGTGTGAATGTGTGCCAGTGGATGAGAATAGCACATGGCCCCAGTCTAGCCTGCTTGATTTCTATTCCATGTTTTGGTGATTTCTGGAAAATCCTGCTTCCCCCCTAAAACAAAAGGAAAGGATTTGCATGGCTTTCCTCCCACTGCTTGATGCAAAGACGATTAGTATTACCCTGTGTTATCTCTGGGAGGAATGATGCTCACTTTTCAGCTGTCTTCACAGAACACACACCCACACACGTACCGAGTGCTGCATCGCATCACTGTGCTCAGAGTTATTTTGAAATAATTTATTTCTCTCTGTGAGGAAAGAGAGCAGCACGTTCCAGAAAAAAAAAGAAAAAGTTTTGAGAACTAAATTGCCTTTTCCCTTATTTTGTCCTTGTGATCTTTTTTGTTCCTGTAATTCCTCCATAATCTACCATGGTAAACCCTGTGCCCCAACTCCAAAAATGATGAGTTTGCTTGTGAAAGCTAAGAGAGTATATGGAGAATATGTTCTTTGCTGAAACTGTGCACTTTGATCTTTTAATTCTGATATTAATTTCCTTAAGGAATTAAAGATCCAAAAGTGAAATCTGGGGAATCACCTCATTGTGACAGTATTGCATTTCACAAATAGGAAATAATTTCATTTGTCTGTAAATCTTGTTTAATCACTTTTAAATGTAAAGGGCATACTGGGTATGGAACCCAGTTAAAACCTGTAAAAAGGAAAGATTCAGCTAAGCTTCTGAGGGGAAGAACCCCAAGACACTTTTATCCCTCCCATTTTTTTATGAGCTTTGTATCTATGCCTGCAATGAAGAGAGAATATTATGTAAATGAATAAGCAATCTTAGAAGATCCACAGGGGTAATTGGAACTAGTCCTGTAGGTTACCTAAAGGAAAAAAAAAAAAAAAACCCAGAAAAAAAAAGAAAGAAAAGAGAAAAAAGTAGCCCACACCTTCCCTCGAGGATGTTGTGTTTCTGTGTTACCTTCGCAGCTACACACAGATTCATAAGTTCCCTAAAACATGCTGCAGAGGTGGCAGTGGGAGCAAAAGTGGCTATTGTCTCCCAACAGTATCATTTCAAGAGCCTTTTTTCAAGACAGGAATGAGGAGTGAAATTTCTTTCTTTCTTTCTTAGCAAAGCAAGAGTGTTTAGACAGCTAGTGTCATGTTGAAAGACAGGAAACGACAGAAGTAGAGTGACAAACGTGTTGGTGAAATAAAAAAGGACACAGATGGAAAAAGAACAAAAGCCATAAGGGATGAGAATTCTCTCATACTTTGCCTGAATTAAGGTAAACAGACAAACTTTAATAATCTCCAAATATTAAGGATTCCCCTGACAGTCATAAAATAACTATCTTAAAATGCATGCAGTGGAATTCAGTCTGCCAT